GGGGGCTTGTGGAAAAGAGCAGCCCGTTTCCCTCGGCTTCCCTATTTCTGGTTGGGATTACCCCGATTCTAAAAGATAAGCCACCATCCCGCACCCTGAAAAACTTACCAACAAGGCAGTTGTGGGCAAATCTCTCGGCCATGATTTCCTCGCGTGCCTGAGGCTGCTGTCCCCCACCAGTGCGGCTGTCCGGACCCGACGGCCTCAGAAACGCCCCCGAACCTGAGTCCATCCCAGACGTTGGAATGTTTGAGTCCATGTGAAGCAATATGTTTAAGCTCCCGTTTTATCGATGAGTTTAGACCAATTTCATCACAAATCAAAGATCTCTTATATGTCAAGTAAATCGCAATAAACCCGGGGAAAAGATCTCCGGGCACTTTAGTGAGCTAGGGCGTCTTGAGGCATCATTACAGGAGCAACACGCGAAGAAGGCCCAGAAAGGCCCCCCTGAGCCACAGTCCACGCACAGGGTTTCAACCATAGGAGGTGGGAGAGACGCGTGATAAACTCCATGAGCTACTCAGCACTGTTATAAAATAGGCTTTGTGTCGGATGATTTGCCCAGCTGTAGCTCACGTGAGCGTCCGAGCATGTCTGAGGCAGGCTCGGCTCAGCAGCGATGTTCGGTAGGTCAGGCGTATTAAATGCATTTTCGACTTAGAACACTTTCAGTTTATGATGGCTTTGTTGGGACCTAACCCCATCGTAGCTCGAGCACCTGGTTTAAATATCAAGGAAAGGGGAACTAACTCCCTTTGATTTATGAGTATTTTTAAAAATTACTTAAGAATATTTTGTTCCTTCAAAATTAATAAAAAGTGAGAAAGGATGAACCTTTTTATCATTAAAAACTTGCAAAGTAGAGGTATTAGGAAGAAGGACTTCTGGTTTTAATTGATGGGAGCTCCTTTTCTCTTCAACTAATATATTAGAAAGAATAACTTATAACGGCATTATGAAAAATATGCAAAATATTTAAAACTTAATAACCATGCAGCTCCTTTTCAAAGAGAAAGATCCACTCCCGCAGCTGCAGGGCAGGCGGCCTCTGGCCCTGGCCTCTGTGCAGAAGGGACCTGCAGGTGCCCCCGAGCCTCCCTGTGGGGGAGACGCAGGCTCCCGGCCTGCTTTAGAGCACGCAGGTTTCTGGTCCGCAGGCTGCCTGCTCCTCTCTGAAACACGACTGCAGCTACCATAGCACCCTGATCCCAGGAGGCATAGAAAGCTGTTTGTAAGTGGACGGTGGAAGGGGGGGCTCCTCTGACGAGTCAGGGACATTGCTGAGAGTTTGCCGCCGGAGAAAAAACACAGGAGACTGGGAGTCCAGCCACTCTGCAGGGTGAGAGGGGGAGCTGGACTTGAGAATACTTTAGAGGAAACAAAAGTGGCCCCACGAGTGTTGGGTAAGAGAAGAACCTACCACCCCAAATGAAAACTGACCCAGTTGGCTGTATTGCACCCGCCGTTCGGCTGGGTTTTTATTTACAGATTTCAATGACCTGCTTCAGGTGCGCAGGTCTATTTGGAAGTAAATTAGACTCACCTGGGAAAACCGAGCATGAAGACTTAGCAGTTGTGTAATCACCTAGAGTAGACCATGGTCCACTCTTTGATACGATTTATTTGTGCAGGTGGGTTCTGTGGGGTAAGGGGCTGCGAGTGATCCCTTAGCACCATCAGCTATAGTTATTTGGTCACCTGTCTTTACAGTGAACCTCAAGTGAACAGGACAGATGGTGCCTGTGTGGCGGCTGGCAGCCCGCGCTGCGGCAAACACCACCTCCCCTGCGCCCTCCGCACCGTGAGCAAGGCCGGCGAGAACCGGGGCCGGCGCTTCTACGCCTGCCCTCTGCCCCGGGGGGCGCAGTGTCTGTTCTTTGAAGTAAGTGTGGGATTTATCTGGCTCACTATGCGTGTACTGGAGTTGAACGTTTCGGTTATTGAAATGGAGCTCATAGCAATCCTATTCCGGTTTCCCCTATAAATTTTAAATAGCCATGTTGACTCAATCTAAAGCCTGCTTGTTGAATAAATTAAAATCAAGGAGGCTCATAAAAAAATTAATCAGCAATAGCTGTTGTATTAGTAGAGTGTCTCCTCTTTGTCACCGAGTATGGAAGTGTTGCCCTTGGTTTAGAAAGGTGGGAAAGCACTGAGCAATTTTCCCAGGTGGCTAAATAATTCAAGATTCGGATTTGCTCTTCCTCATTTCGGTGCTGTTATCACAACCTTCAGCGCCCGCCCTGGGTGGAGAGAGGTACGCCGGAAAAGTCATTCACATGCCTGGATTTACAATAAATGTAGCGACTCCCCCAGCTCGAGTTTGACCCAACAGAAGCGATGGCACAATAGCAGCGCGGATGTAGGCGATTCCCCGCCTGGTTCGGTCTGTGCGTGGGCCCCTGAGAACGGATGTGAGCTGGGAGACAAGAATCAGGTCCTTGCTGCCCTGGCCGGTGTTGCTCAGCGGTTAGACCGTCAGCCCATTCACTGAGGGTTGTGGGTTCAATTTCCGGTTAAGGGCAAGTGCTTGGGTTGCAGGTTTGACCCTTGGCCTTGGTCGGGGCTCATGCAGGAGGCAACCAATCAATGTGCCTCTATCACATCAATTCCTCTCTCTCCCCCTTCCTCTCTCTAAAAATCAATGGAAAAAGTATTCTTGGGTGAGGCTTAACCAAAAAACAAAACAAGAATAGAACTGGGTGCTTCTGGTTCTTCTCACTCTGAGTGTGACTCATGTTTAAAGATACGTGTTTTCCAGCTGCTTCATCTGGTCCATAACCCAGCGAAGGAAATCCGGGTCTGTTTCAGTGCTGGAGCAGAATGTTCCGGTTGCCACATGGAGAGAGAAAGTATCTGTCTTCAAGGGAGTAGCTCCCTAAGGAACTTCCCAGGGAAAGCTTGATAAGGATTTCAGGTCTTTTTTTTTTTTTTTTTATATATTTCTTTATTGATTTCAGGGAAAGGAGAGGGAGAGGGAGCTAGAAGCATCAATGATGAGAGAGTCATCAATCAGCTGCCTCCTGCACGCCCCCCCACCCCCAGGGGTCGAGCCCACAACCTGGGCATGAGCCCTGCCCGGGAATGAACCGTGACCTCCTGGGTCGTAGGTCAGCGCTCAGCCACTGAGCCAGGCCGGCCGGGCTGACTTCAGATCTTAACCCCTGCGCAAGATTGACTCCTACTACACGTATTTGCTCCTCGGGAAGCATTTATAGATGTAACGGAGGAAATATTATTAGCAATATTAATGTCACAGCCTGTTTTATACCTGTCTTGTGTCCAAAATTAGTAAGAGTAAGAGGAATACACTGGAACTGCTCAAACCAGCTCCAGTGATTCCACAGGGACTCGTTCTTTTCTCGAGAGATGCAGGAAGTTTAGTGTTAGAACCGTGACAAATCTTTGACCTTAGTTTTACCTAAAACGGATCTATAGCAGGGACACCGTGTTTGCTTTACAGCAAGACAGAGGGAAGCTCAGGATTATGGTGATTTTCTGTGTGATCCAAGCAAACCTGTAAGACGCGCTTCTTATAGGATATGAGCTTTCTTAAAGGCAGCAACTAATGGCTTGCATGGGTGTTATGATGTCACACTGACACATGGCACTCAGCAGAGGCGCCTGGCTCAGCCCCGTGTCGTTTCTCCTCCGTCTAAACCCCGCCTCTCTGTCCCCGTAGTGGGCAGACCTGTCCTTCCCACTCTGCGACCACGGCAAGCGCTGCCTCGTGAGGACAGTGCTGAAGATGGGACCTAACAACAGGAAGCGTTTTTTTGTGTGTCCACTTGCTAAGGAAAAGCAGTGCAGCTTCTTCCAGTGGGCAGCCAGCGAGCCGGGAGTCGACGTTACTCCAGGACGCTAATATGTTCTCCTTCCGAGGAGTATCTGGCAGTTAATCTCTTCAAACAACATGCGGATGCCCTTTATTTTAATAGGTTGGTTGTAGAATTTCTATGGCACATTGTAAAGCTATTGCAGCGTTTAAGAACTTCATTTTTTTATGCGGGCCGTCTTTGCATTCTGTGGCCATGTGTATTTTTTGCGTTGATGAATGCTATCGGCGTTTCATCAACTGTACAGTGTATTACACTTAGTATGTATATTTAATGTGTTTATTAATGACAATAAAGTATTTTTAGTATACTCTCAGTCTCTTGTAATTTCTTGGGGCAAGAAATTATTTCTTTTAGGAGAGGATTATGTAGTACAGTAAAATACTAAGCTATCCTGTCTGAAATGGGTAATTTTCTCAGGTATCGCCGGGACTCAAAATACGTGATTGCAGGTGCTTTTTGTTTTCTTAATTTAAGGAATAAGAGCTCCATTATGGAAAAGAGTGTTTTCTTTTTTAAAATTTGTCATTCAATTCAACAAACACCCAGTTCCTTTTAGATGCTAGAGATATGCCAAACCCTGTGTAACGTCACGTGCGTTTTCGTGGAAACGTGTGGTGATTCAGAGTATGGTAGTAACCTGTGAGAACAGAAGTCTGTGTACCGTTAGGAGAGACGTTGCTTTAAATTTTTCTGATGTTAGTTTTACTGTTGATCCGCCTTTAGGTTCTCTGACTATCCTCTGTCATCTTTATTCTACTATTGGGACCAACCAGCAAGTTGTTTTTTTCAATTTTGATGATGGTAGTTTTCAGTCTTATTGTTAACACCTGGTTCTTTATTATAGTTCTGTTTCTTTGTTGAGATTTTTTTTCATGGGTGTCAAGAGAATTTGGAACTGATTCTGGAAGGGCATCCGTGATGACCGGTTTAAAATCCCGTCGGGTAATTCTAATATCTCCCTGAGCTCAGTGTTGTCACCAGGTGGGTGTCTATTCCTCATCACCATGGTTCTTCTGGTTTGGGACAAGATGGGTGATTTTTTATTAGACGCTAGGTGTTTGGTTATCATGTTAGGAGACTCTAGATCCTATTGAAAGCTTTCATTCAGGGGCGGGTGTCCTGTTCCGGTTGAGTGTGTGGGTTCTGACCTCACTGTGGGCTTTAGGCCCAATGACAGTTGAGTTCTCAGAGCCCTGGCAATGGGTCCCCTCTGCTGCTCTCCTGTCTTGCTGTGGCTCCTGGTCACTCCCTCTGGTGCTGTCTGCAGGCACCAAAGGTGATTCCTGGCTGCCTGGTGCCTTAGGCCGCCTTGTGCAGGAAGGTGTGGGCAGAAGCCACAGTGCCTGCGTCTCCTTTTGCCACCAGGTGAAGGGAAACAGGTATTGCCATTGTCCCACAGCTGTGGCACCAGGACCCGGCTGTCGCCTGGTCATCCTTGAGCCGAATGGGCTTCTGGAAGATGCTCTGTGATCGGCTGGTGCTCATCTCTGGAGTGTATCTGCCTGTTTCTTGGTATTTGAAACCAATATCATATGAATATATGGAGAGGCTTTTAATTACGGGGAGGAAAACTGAGAATGTGATAGAAGGTGAAATTAGGGACACAGTGATTTTAAGAGCCACTGTTTCTTGAGCCCTTAATTTTTGACACCTGCTGACATTTTTCAGGTATTATTACATTTAGTTCTCCTGAGCACCCGTGAAATCGGCTTTTTATTGTCATTGTTACGCAGTGTTCCAGTTTAGGAAACCTGGCTTGGTTGATGGGGGTTAGGTAAGAAATAAGTCCTGGTCCCCCAGCCCCTGGTTACAGTGCCATGTGCGTGGCTCTGACCCACACTCTGAACAGGGGGTTCTCCTCCCATGTGCTGAAAAAGAGGGGCTGTGCTAGCCCTGGCCCCGTGGCTCATCGGTTAGTGTCGCTCCCATACACCAAGGTGCGGGTTCCGTCCCCGGCCAGGGCACGTTATACAGTGAAAGCGTGAAGGAATGGACCCACAAACCGATGCCTCTCTCTCTCCCCCTCCCTCTCTCCCTTCCTCTTTTTCTAAAATAATAAAAATTGAGAAAAGGGGCTGTACCCCAAATCGCATGCCTTTGATATGTATAAGTATCTAACATATGCAGATGAGAATAATTGTGGTATAAAGATAAGATGATCATTTTTACTCTAAATTTTTAAAAATTTTTTCTTTTTAATTACGATTGACATACAATATTATTTTAGTTTCAGGTATACAATGTGGTGGTTGGGCATTTATATAATTTACTAAGCAATCCTCCCTAAGTCTAGTACCCATCTGACACCCTACATAGTGAAACAGTGTTGAAATTTCTATAAATTTATTTTAACTTTCCACTACTTTCTATTGCTTTTATTTATTTAACTTCATTGGAAAATTTTTTAATCCATTATTTTCATGTACTTTCTAGTAGTACCGGTCCTTCCAGGTCACCATTACAGGCAAGTTACTGTGTGAAATCAAAGAGCACTTTCCCTTTATTCTTTGACTCCTGTTGGCTCCCCTGATAGAAGAGTAGTGAGGGACAAAAAGGACAGGACATTTAAAAGAGATGCAGACATGGAAAGGTGATGACGGGAAAAGACAGACCTCGGGAAAGGAAAAGCCGGAGGGAACCCCCGAAGCTTCTCCCGAGCACTTCCATCCGCTCTCGGCCATCGGAAACACAAACGTGTGGGGAGTCAACCGAAACACAGCCCTCTAAATTTTTAACACGACACCCTCGCTTTTGGACTGAACACTTTCATAAAACCCACAACTGCCAAGCAGATTAGCAGTCTCATGACCGCAGTTCCAAGTCCACCTTCCATATTAGCATCTCCATCACTCCCGGTCACTGGCTTTGGCAGCCTGGCTTTCATGTCAATAAATACTTGTCTGCTTTTAATATGCATATACTCTTGTCATTATGTTACTACATTCAGCATTTAAAAAGAATTTATTTTGCTCTCCATGGTAGAAAACAATTTAGGGAACTGTACAGAGCAGGAGAAACGTGAAATCTGAGTACTGGAGTCGGTTATTGACTCATTAGTTTAATAACTTGTCTTCCCAAACTTGAATAATTTAGATGCATTAGAAATGATGCAGCGTTAGAAAGTGCATTCTTAAAATGGCAAACACTGGGCCTAGGATCCGAGTTGGTAGTTATTACTTATTTAAAATAAACAGGCAGATTCCGTTGAGATATGGTCTCATTTTCAGGAATGGTCTATTAGCAGGCAGCGGCGAGACGGCAGTTAACCGTGTCAGCGCCTTCAAGACTAATGTGCACTCCGCACAGCGGCAAGCGCTCGACCGACCACGGCCTATTAAGTAATCAGAAATGATTGCGGATAATTAGCTGTGGAACAGCTGCATAGACCCAAGTACTCCATTTTCTATCAGACACGGAGACTTGGAGTTGGAAGGGAGGTTTATCAGCCCCGTCTCGAACTGGTGGGAGTCACCGTGAAACACAGAAGCGGGGCCCGGCGTGGGCGGCACCCTGTCACTGCTGTTTCTCCGGGTAACACGCCTAATGCGCTCGTGAACGCAGTCCTGAAAGTGATGAGAGCAGGGATATTACCAGTGAACAAAAGCCTCCTATAAATCCCGACATTAAATGAAATAGGAAAATGCAGGCCTCGGTTAATAAAATTCCTTTAATGAGCGTGTGTCACTCATATTTGCTTGTATTTTCAGTTCAGATTTGACCTGCGCACATCCCGCACATCCCGTCTGAATGAGACTGCACTCAGACACGTATCCAAACGGTGACAGATACCATAAACATATAGTTGCTCTTGAATTAATAACTGTACTTAAGTATTTCTCTCTTAAATTAAAAAATACAGCCTCCTTTTTTCTGTTCCTTTTTTACGAAAGAAAGCATGCTGGACAGACCATAATCACTATGTTTAGGAAAAAGAATTAGGTTTATTTTAATTAAACATAGGTTTAATTTTAAAATATTCTAAAATTTGAGTTCTTAAACCTGACATGGGAACACTGGGAGGTGCTGGGGTCCTGCCAGGGCCGTCAGAGAGAGATTCAGCTCCTGGGGCAGATGTGGTTAGAGGGGCTGCATTGTCTACGGAAGGCTCCCCGTGGCAAGACTCTAGGAATTAACCTCTAGAGGAAAAGACTCAGTGAGAATAAATGTATATTTGCTGACCAGGCTGAACATCTGGAGGTGCTTCCTGAATACTTGTGTTGAAGATTTTCTTTTGTGTGAAATTTAGCACGTGTTCTTTGCTTTTTTTTTTTTTTTAATATATCTTCATTGATTTCAGAGAGAGGAAGGGAAGGGAGAGGGTAAGAGAGAGAGAGAAACATCCAAGATGAGAGAGTCATTGATCGGCTGCCTCCTGCATCCCCCAACTGGGGATCGAGCCTGCAACCCGGGCATGTGCCCTGGCGGGGAATCAAACCTCGATCTCCTGGATCCTAGGTCGGTGCTCAACCACTGAGCCAAACCCGGCTGGGCTGTTACTTGCTTTTTGGCAGAAGTTAAAAACTTCTATTTTATTTATAGGCCTACCAAGGATGACTTGGGTAGATGGGGAGACAGGAGGGATGGTGGGTGGATGGATGATGGATGGGCGATAAGCACATAATTAGCCATGGATTTCACTCACAGAGAACTGGTTCTGTAAGATGTGTTTTATATTCTCTCCAGTTATCCTCATTTTATCAGCATCCGATCAGGGTATATTTCTGCGCCTGTTGCTGTGTGAGGCTGAACGTTCAGATGTCCAGGAGGCCCCGAGGAGTTCAGGGTCTTTGGGGGCAATAAGCATTCAAAGCAACAATCCCAGTCCCTCTTCAGCGTGACAGGAGCAGGGCGGGGCGCCAGCACTCCCACGTCCCGTCCTGGCGCACCTGGCAATGCAGCTCCTGCCCAGTGCCCCGGACACCCACTTAGAGCCTTGCGGGGTTGACCTAAAACTTCCCGGTAGCCCTCTCGGGTTATTGGAAATTACAGGAGAACTCTCTCTTTCAGCGTCACTTCGAAATCACTGCGTCTTCCTGCCTATGGTTTGCATCCCCAGTGGGTCCTGTCCAGTGCGTTACAGTCGTGCTGCGGCCACAGCATGTGTCCAGCGCTCTCATTTCCTTTAGGGAGTGAACATGGATAATTCTGAGCCACGGTCAACTTCAGTGGCGCAAGGCCTTCAAAGCTACCTGTGCTCAGAATATTGGAAGGAGCTCATTTCCAGGTAGCGCATCGTCTTTGGGGCGTGGACTTCCTTGGACGCCTCTCTGGGCACCACTTCCACAGGGTCACTGAGAGAACCGTTTC